TAATGGGGGCAGTTGCCTGTGGCTGGGGCTTGGGGGATACCTGAGAGAGTTGGGGGTATCTCAGCTTGGGAGGAGGGGCTGAAGAACGAATTGAAAAGACAGGAATTCTTGAAAGGTGGAATGGGAGGGAGTAGGCTTGAGTTATGACCTGCCCGAGCCTCCCCCAGTTTGTGGCCCTAATAGGTGCCCTCCTTGCCATCTGCTGCATGATTTTTCTGGGCTTCGCGGATGATGTACTGAATCTGCGCTGGCGCCATAAGCTGCTGCTGCCCACAGCTGCCTCACTACCTCTCCTCATGGTCTATTTCACCAACTTTGGCAACACCACCATTGTGGTACCCAAGCCCTTCCGCCCGATTCTTGGCCTGCATCTGGACTTGGGTGAGTAGCCCTGTCACTACTGCCCCTATGGCACCTACTTCAGGGCACCCTTCTCCCCTGAGAGGTTCAGCAGAGCACCCTTCCTGGTTCTCCACATTCTCCTCCAAGTGTCCCTGTTCTGTTCCCGTGTCTTCCAGATCCTTTCTGGTGGCCCTTCATAAGAAGAACGTTGTTAAATCCTCCTTCCCTAGGTAGCACTACTGCTTTTCATACTGTGTCTTCCCCCAAGGGATCCTGTACTATGTCTACATGGGGCTGCTGGCAGTGTTCTGTACCAATGCCATCAATATCCTAGCAGGAATTAATGGCCTAGAGGCTGGCCAGTCGCTAGTCATTTCTGCTTCCATCATTGTCTTCAACCTGGTGGAGTTGGAAGGTAGGTGGGATTGGGAGTAGGGAAAGAAGAGAAGTCTGAGTGTTAAGGTAGTTTCCTGATATGTAGCTTTGGGGAATTCAGGGGAAAAAAATATATATGTGGATAATTATAGAAAATGAGGGAAGCTATTTACTTTGCAAATAACAGTGAAGATTTATTAAATGTGAGAACTAAAAATAGCCCTGTCATTTATAGCTGGGTTGGCACTAATAAGTAGGCCATGATCTTCTACAGCCCCCAACATCAGACAGGATCACTCTGTGGCCATGATGGAGCAAGACAAAAACAAGACCCCTCCCTCCATTAATCATGTCTGAGCACAGACAAAACCATAAGAACACTGAGCAACCCACAGAATGACCAAGATCCCTCTCCTGGCTAACATGAGAGACTGCTGCTTCTTTCTAATACGAACTCAGTTCCTCCCACTTCTTAGATAAAAATTATTAAAGTGCTCAATCATAGAATTACTCCTGCTTTCTGATAGTACCCAGTCCAGAGCAAAACTCTACTTCCTTGCACCCTCCCCAAAATTACCCCCCAAAAATCCTATTACAGTTTCCCTTAACACTCTCTTACTGAGGCATTCTATGGTTCCCCATGGTGTCTGGTTTCTGAAGTCTCCATTATTACAAGAAGTCGGTAAACCCAGCCTTGACTATAGGTGTTTCTGGTGGTCTTTGACTGACGGACATCCACAAGTACTTAGAAAAGCTAAGCACTTTTTAAACCTTATCTCATTTAAATATTGTAATGGAGCTAGCCAGTTAGCTCACTTGGAAGAGCGTGGTACTGGTAATGCGAAGGTCATGGGTTTGGATCCCTGTACCAGTCAGCTGCCAAAAAATAAAAATAAAAAAATAAAAATCTTGTAATGGCTCAGTGTGGCAGGTGTTATCATCAGCCCTGTTTTACAGATTAGGAAACTGAGGCTTAGAGAAGTTAAATGTATCATGATCAAGGTCACAGAGCTAGGAAGTAAAGCTGGTATTCAAACCTAGGTCAGAATAGTCTAAACCAAATTTAAGACAGTAGCTAGTTTAGGAAGACTTCATGAAAGGTGGAATATTGGTAATTCCCTGGGTAACATAAAAGGGGTAGTGAGTTCTTGAAATTGGCTTGGGCGAGGTGGACCATACTGCTGAGGACAGAACTTAGAGACAGACAAAAATAGGACCAAGGTATGCAGAGGAAGTAGGTATTAACTTTTCCCTCTTTCTTTTTCCCCTGCTTCCAAAGGTGATTATCGGGATGATCATGTCTTTTCCCTCTACTTTATGATACCCTTTTTTTTCACCACCTTGGGATTGCTCTACCATAACTGGTAAGTAGGCCTGTGGATAAGGGGGACAACTATCTGAGCATGTAGCAAAGATGGTCCTTATCAAAACCCACCTCCTGGTGGAGAGGCTAAAGCCGTGTGTACCTGTGTTGAGTGTTTTTTGCATCTTCAGTTGGTAGTATTCTGAAATTGCTCTCTACCTAGCAGTAGTTGGGGACAAATGTTGTAGAGGCCCCAGGGATAGGGTCCTGCAGAGTTGCTGGGACACCTGGAGTTTCCTCTGAGTCAGAACTAGGGTCAAGGCTAGCCCAGTGCCTAGAGTGTGTGATGTGAAAGGATTGGTAATGCCTCTTGCCACCGGCTCAGATACTCTCCCCTACACAGGTACCCATCACGGGTGTTTGTGGGAGATACCTTCTGTTACTTTGCTGGCATGACCTTTGCCGTGGTGGGCATCTTGGGACACTTCAGCAAGACCATGCTACTCTTCTTCATGCCGCAGGTGTTCAACTTCCTCTACTCACTGCCTCAGCTCCTGCATATCATCCCTTGCCCTCGCCACCGCATGCCCAGGTAGCCACTTTGGGGCTTGAAAGGGACATCGTAGTCTTTTCACTTGTAATATTTAAAGCCAGCCTCTACATTGCTGTGCGAAGGGAGTGGGCCCCAAAAAGAGCTAACTCTTTCCATACGGGGAAGCCCTTTATAACTTACAAAGCACATTTACTTACATAATCTATTTAATGCTCACAGCAGTTGTGATCACATGGTGGTAATCAGCAGAGCCAGCAATACATCTCAGGTTGTTTGACTCCATGTTCAGTGCTCTTCCTATTAATTAACCACAGAGTTCTTTGAATAGTGGCCCAGTCACATGAAGCTGTTTTCCCCCTACAGACTCAATACCAAGACAGGCAAACTGGAGATGAGCTATTCTAAGTTCAAGACCAAGAGCCTCTCTTTCTTGGGCACCTTTATTATAAAGGTAACAGGGTAACAAGTAAGTAAGGCCCCAGGCCACAATCCTGAACACAGGGAATGGGGAACCTAGGTCTGCATCAGATCCAAGGGGAGCTTGGAAGCATTAAACAGATCCCCATTCTTGAAACATAGGTATTAGCTGAAGTTCTCTCCACCTCTCGCCCCTCCAGGTAGCGGAGAGCCTCCGGCTAGTGACAGTGCGCCAGAGTGAGAATGAGGATGGTGCCTTCACAGAGTGTAACAACATGACACTCATCAACTTGCTACTTAAAGTCTTTGGGCCCATACATGAGAGAAACCTCACATTGCTCCTACTGCTGCTACAGGTGAGATTGGGGATTGGGTTTACACCTGTCTCCCTTTCCCCATGGTTCTAAATCCAGTCCATTTCTCCTTGCAGATCCTGAGCAGTGCTGTCACCTTCTCCATTCGGTACCAGCTTGTTCGACTCTTCTATGATGTCTGAGTCCCCTGATCATTGCCCTTTACCTCACAGTTTTGAGGGTTTCTGACTCAGGCCAACCTCTGTCTGGACCATGACTGCCTCCTGGTCCAGGCCTCTGCCTCCCTTCATTCTCTTCCAGATATTCTCAGCATTTCTCTTCTCCTGAGATTATTGGCATTTGGGGCCTTTCTTGCCTTCTAATGAGTATTGATTGGACTTTGCCTACGGCTTTCTTCACCTTGCCATTCTGTCCCTCTCCATCCCATCTATGCAACCTCCTATGGTGGGATACATTAGCTTTTATGCAGTTCACAACTCAACTTTCAGAGTTCTCACTCTCAAGGAATATGTTGGGCCTTGGGATAGAACCTGGGCTATGGATAGGGACAAAGGCTTGAAGATAACTTGATATTTAACTATAAATTAAGTTTTCTGATTAGTAAGAGCAGACTGGGGGCCAGGTGCTCCCAATGGTGACAATAAAGTGTTGTCTTTTTCTTGTTGTTCCTGTAGGTATATGTCCTATATGGACATTTTGGGGTAGATTGGGAGGGTTGGGGAGGGTACCTCGTCCAAGAGGATGCCTATCTCTCTGTCCCATCTGACCCCTTCTAGCAAGAAGTGAACAGAACTAAGACCAGACAGAACATATTGAATAAATTTTGAAATCCTTATACTTCAGGTGGTATGGAGGGCCATACGATTCAAGTTATTGTTTTCTGGCATGGGATTGAACTCTCAGGGGGTCCCATTTCCTCCCCTTTTCACTCTCCCTTTGCCACATAGGAGGAGGGAGTGGGGAGCGAACAGACCTGGAAGGGGAGGCAGAGGTAGTTGTAGTTTTGACCCCTTTCCTTTAAAAATCCTGGGCCGGAGGGCCGGCCTGTGCCTCATTCGGGAGAGTGTGGTGCTGATAACTCCAAGCCAAGGGTTAAGATCCCCTTACCGTCATCTTTAAAGAAAAAAAAAATTAAAAATAAATAAATAAAAATCCTGGGCCGGCACAGATTTCACAGAGGATCCCTGTGCCTCATTCGGGAGAGTGTGGTGCTGATAACTCCAAGCCAAGGGTTAAGATCCCCTTACCCGTCATCTTTAAAGAAAAAAAAAATTAAAAATAAATAAATAAAAATCCTGGGCCGGCACAGATTTCACAGAGGATCCCTAAGCGGCTTCAGACTCCACCTCTTTTGGCTTCTGGTTCTGGTCTCCGGCTGTAGCGTTTAAATTTCGCGCGCTTTCCACAGATTGGCTACAACCGGGGGGTAGTTGGCATTCTGCGTGCCACCACTCCTCCTCGGCTCTTTCCCCGGGCAAAAGGTTTTCAAATTTGACCAATCGGCGGGCGCGCTCCCTCAGCCGAGGCGCGACCCCGAAGGGTTAACCGCAACCAACCGGGGGCGGGTATTGGAGAAAAGGGCCAATCAGGAGGACGCGGAGGTGTGCCCTGAGGGGCTTATAAGGGCTGCCCAGCGGCGAACGCGGCAGCAGTTGGACTGCAGCGGACGTCTGCGTGGTGTCTGTTGGAGGCGTTGCTCTTCGTCGTTCTACCTCGCGCAACATGTCCGGCCGCGGTAAGACCGGCGGCAAGGCCCGCGCCAAGGCTAAGTCGCGCTCATCGCGCGCCGGCCTCCAGTTTCCCGTAGGCCGCGTGCACCGGCTGCTGCGGAAGGGCCACTACGCCGAGCGGGTCGGCGCCGGCGCGCCGGTGTACCTGGCGGCGGTGCTCGAGTACCTCACCGCCGAGATCCTGGAGCTGGCGGGCAACGCGGCCCGCGACAACAAGAAGACACGGATCATCCCGCGCCACCTGCAGCTGGCCATCCGCAACGACGAGGAGCTCAACAAGCTACTGGGCGGCGTGACGATCGCCCAGGGGGGCGTTCTGCCCAACATCCAGGCCGTTCTGCTGCCCAAGAAGACCAGCGCCACCGTGGGGCCGAAGGCGCCGGCTGGCGGCAAGAAGGCCACGCAGGCCTCTCAGGAGTACTGAGGGGTGCCCGCGCCACACCCCCGCCCCCGCACGGCCTGCCGCCGCGGTCTCGGTCGGGGCCGTGGCGAACCAGGGCTCGGCCCCGTCTTCGCCGGGAGGAGGGGCGGGTGGCCGACCGTCCTCGGGGGTGTTCGTTCGCGACCCAGGGACCGTGAGGCGCGGCTCGGGGGAGGCTGGAGCGCACATGCCCGCCTGGCGGCTCGTGACTCAGCCGCCCCATCCTCAGGATTGCTGGTGGGCTGCAGGGAGGCCGCAGCATCTTCCGGAGACTTGGCTTTCGGCTCTGACGTAGGGCTGAGGCGGCGAGCCCTGGAGGTGAGTCCCTCAGCAGCTGTAGGCCGGTAGCGTGTCACTTCTCCGGCTTGGTGCTTAGCCCAGGACTTTGCAGACGTGACTGTTGATTTCCAGGCTTTGGCGGGAGAGCAATTGATCAGTTCTGGTTTGGTGCCCCCTTTGCTGCCACATCCCAGGCCTTTCTCATCAGCTCTCCCTCCACCTTCATTCACAGGCCTGTGTGAGGTGGCCCGGACAAAACGCTTTGTAATCTGAACATCTTTCCTCCAGAGATGACTGCCCCCTAGGAAGAAATTTGGGGGAGGGCAGCGGCCTCCAGTTTGCCTTCACAGCTGACTGTGGACAGGAGTTGAGTTTGCTGAAACAGACTGGCAGCGAGGCCTACTCACTCCGCCCCATTTCCCTTCCAGCGACTCAATTCAGCAATCCAAGCACCTAGATGCCAGCACAAGTCGGTTAATCTCTGTCTGGACTGAGCTCTGAACTGGAATTTTGCAGCTAACCCATCCAAGATTAGAACTTTAGGTACTGGGGAGTTTCAAATGGACTAATTTTGTTTATTAAAGAATTGTTTTTTAAAATGAAGTCTTTGTTTTCATTTTGCAAGAACTGTGGGATTGATTTTATATACTTTCCTGAGGTAAGAGGGTGGGAGGGACTGTAATATAAATAGAGGCTATTGTTAACTGGAAAAGGGACCAGCCAGATTTTAAAGATTATGGCTCTCTCTTGCTTTCTTGGTGCTCCCTGGGAGACAATTTAAGTTTAAAACAAGGACTGTCGAGGCAGAAATTCTAAGGATGTTCCAGGAGAACTTTGGACAGAGGTCCTAGCCTCAGAAGTAAGGATTAAAGGGGTTTCTGTTTTTATCTTTCCCCAACCCCACCAAAAAAGCAAAAGACCACCTTCAGAGCTGGTTTATTACTATAGTTGATTACATTCAAAGGCAGTGGCTTGGACTTTAAAGAGATGAAGCCCACACCCACTGAGGAGGCAAGGCAGCCCCCAAGGCCCCAAGGTGAGACAAGTCCCTGGAAGTCTTGGACCCTGCAGTTCAGTCTCCTGAGGTTATCACTCCCCAGTTAGCAGTGAAAGTGGGGCACTGTGGTCTGGGATGTGGGCACTGGACAGCAGCAACCCAGGCACCTATGCCCCACAGACCAGTTAGTGGGCATCATTAAGCTGCCGTGCAACATCCAGGATGTGCATGGCTCCTTTGCTCAACAACAAGGTGGCTAGGCTGATGCCCAGGTTCTCCGCAGCCAACTGGGCTCCTCGTGGAATGTTCCGGGCAGTGATGCCTACCAGTTGTGGATCATCCTCAGGGATCCCACATACAGACCGGTTCCCGCTCACTGGCTGAGCGAGGTGTGGGAGCAACACCGAGGGTTGCGATCCCGTTGCCGGTCCCGGTCCGGTACAGGCGCGACACTGAGGGTTGCGATCCATTGCCGGACACGAAAAAAGACAAAAGGGAAAAAAAAAAAGAATGAATTATTACTACATTCATTCATTTGAGAAATCTCCCCACTCACCTTCCCAGGTCCCCAAGTCTCCACCCCCCCCACAAGTGGAACACAGGCCCTACCAGGTGCCTCAGGAAGGCTCTTTCAGCGATGCAGCGAAGCAGAGTCTCAGGATCATGCAACACACCCACCAGATCCAAGATGTCCTGGTCCTTGGCTCGGACTTCCACTCCTAGGGCTCCCTAATGGAAAAACAGCCTAGGATATCAGGCCTGATCTTCCCACCCTACTCCACCTGCTCCCCAGAACCTTTTGAGCCAGTAGCATCCCCAGGCCTGCCCCTCCCTGAAAATTTCTTTCTGGGAGAAGCACAGGCAGAAGATTGTGAGACCAGTTTCTTAGCTGAGAACAAAGGGAGGGGGTACATCACCATGCGGCTTCCCTAGTCAAGCATACCTGGCCCACAGCATACATGCATTCTTCAGGGTGCAAGATCTGTGGAGGCAGAACAGGCAGTCAGAAGGGTGGAGATGCGGCTTCTGCAGTATCTAGAAAGCCTGGGTAGGCACAAGTAGCAGTCTGGCCTCTGATTCCCAATCTTCCCCGCCTGGGACTCTGGGACTCATTTCCAGCTTGTAGTATTAGAGGTGGAGTGGTCAAGAAGAGAATGCAGGCACGCAAGAGATGGCAGATAAACTGGGGAGAGGACAAGGGCAGCCCCTACCTGCCCCACCCGGTTCTGCCAGCCCATGCGCTGTAGGCCTGCTGCAGCCAGGATGATGGCACTGAACTCCTGCTGCTCGTCCAGCTTCCGAAGCCGGGTGTTGAGGTTTCCCCGCTGTGGAGAGATGCTAAGGACTACGAGTGTTGTGCAATCTGGAGCTTCATGCTGTTGCCTCTGCCTGAGTCTGTCTTTTCCTCTCTGGCTAACTTCCCATCTTCCAGTTCTCAGCTTAATGATAACAGCTAACACTTACATCATACTTACTACATGCCAGACACCATTCAAAAGTGCTTTCCATATGTCAACTCATTCCATTTTCACAACTCTATGAAGTAGGTATTATTATCCCCACTTTACAGGTCAAGAAAATTATACAGAAAGGTTAATAATTTGTCCAAGGCGACAAGACCTCTGAGAAGCTTTCCCTGACCCCCAAGTCGGTATTTAGGTATTTTGAATAGAAGCTTCCAGAGAATTCCCTACTTCACCCATTGGAGCGCTTTGCATATAATATTTTTTAAATTAGTTTTATGACCCCCGTGGAGTCCACTCTTTGTGCCTATAGGAGCTTGAATGTGGCCCCCAAACGTACTAATATTCATTTTTTTTTCCTTTTTTGTCTTTTTTCACTGACCAGTAACGGGATAGCAACCCTTGGTGTTGCGCCCGTACCGGGGACCGGCAACGGGATCGCAACCCTTAGTGCTGCGCCCGCACCTCGCTCAGCCAGTGAGTGGGAACTGGTCTCCACATGGGATCCAAACCCTCGGCAGGAGCGCCTCCACGCTCCCAAGCGGCGCACTATCCAGTGCGCCACCGGGCTGGCCCCTAATATTCATTTTGAAAATAAAAATAATATAGTAGCCAGCTTGCCGCTTAGCTCAGTTGGCCTAGAGCAGTGTTAAAACACCAAGGTCAAAAGTTCAGATCCCCATACTGGCCACCACAAACAAACAAACAAAACACAGCACAATACAGTAGCATATAAAATAAAATGGAAGCACCCCTTTGCCCCCCTAAGAAGCAATCACCATTCAGTATTACCCTGTATTATCAATGCCAGTGCCAGGCACTTGCCTGGGGCTAAGAAAATATTAAAGGATGGAAGGACAGGCGGCCCAATGACCCCATGGGCCACTGGTTCTGGGAACCTCTCCACTCTCAGCACTCTCATGGTCCTCTAGACCTTGTCTTCCTCCTTAGATGCTGCCGCCTCCCTCTTCTAAAAGGATACAATACTCTTGAACTCCAGATGTGGGAACTTTCTCTGCAGCTGGGCTGCTCTCCGCAGGGAGCTGGTTCCCACCACACTGCTCAGAGAGAGGGTTTAAAGTGAGAAGGAGCATGAGGCAGCCACTGTTCCCTTCCTCCTCCTCTCATCTCCCTCCTCTGTGCACATCCCACTAAGGTACCTATGCAGGCCCCACTCACCTCTTCTCTGGCAAGGTTTCTAAGGTCTTCCCAACAAATTTTGGGTGAAAGACAACAGCATCATAGGGGTTCTCCCGCCTGGGGGTGGAGGGGTCATAAAATGAGGGAGATTTCAGTTCAGGTCACCTCCATTCTCTTTCAATAGCCACTGGCTGGCATTTTCTGAGCTTTCTGCCACACTCGATACTCCTCAGGGCAGGGAAAACAGCCCTCGAGGCAGAGGGCCAAGTCCCAAAGGGAAAAGCCAAGGTTCACATGATACGTACCCCCTCTCCAGACCCCCTTCCTTGCAGGACTCTTACTTGCAGATGGCTCCAATGGTGAAGCCAGGAGGAAGCATGGTGGGCAGGTCCTTCAGGGAGTGAACAACCAGGTCTACTCTAGAGAGATGGGAGAGGAGGGCAAGGAGAAGGGGTCCCAGCAGCCAGCCTCGCCCCCCCTCCACGCCTTCTCTACCCACTCTGCCTCTACTTCAGTGGTGGAGCCAAGGATGGTTCAGGAGGCAGGATTTTCCAAGACCTCGGGATCCTGAGACCTGCTCTCCTCCCACCCTCCCTCTACTCCACTCCCCCAGTCAATTTTGCACTCCAGGCAGCCAGATAGCTCAGAAAGAACATTCTCCTTCTCTGAAGCCTGAAAAAACCCACCTATGAGCCCCCTCCAGCCTATTTAAGGGGTTAAGCCTAGCAGCCTAGCTGATATGCAGGTCTGGAGCACACTGGGATCCCATCAAGAGACCAGGAGGGTGCCATGCTGTCCTGTCTTCACTTACTCATTCTTCTCCAGTGCATGTTCCAGCTCCTTGGTGAACAGACTCTTCTCTCCAATCTGCCGGGCAAGAAAGAGCATCAGAGTAAATCTCTTGAGGGAAGGAAAGATGAGAGGGGACAAGGATTAGGGGGAAATATAATTACCTTAGAGAGCGCAGTATCAAGAATTTTGTCCCCTGTGGTGGACATAGCAACTGAGGAGAAAGTCAATCAATCAGGTGCTCATTAATCATTACTTATACAGTCCAGCATTTACTAAGTCCAGCAATGTGTTAGGATTCATGGTGGGGAGAGAGGCACATAAGCCCCAGTCCCTGCCCTCTGGAAATATAAGATCTAACAGGAAGATCAGACACACTGATAAAAAGACAAAGCATAAGATGTTAAATGCCAGGCTAGCCCACATAGTCAAAGCTGGAGGTATCCAGAGAACGAAAGAGCCCCCCGCACTGTGAGCAGCCAAGAGGGATTCTTAGAGGCAGTGAGACCAGGCTTCAGTCATAGGCAAAGCCAGAAACACTGTGTTCTCCCCTCCAGAAGTACTGGCTTCCCATTAGCTTCCATTCCTTTCCAAAAAACTCACTGATTTCAAACTGCAGGCCAGGGTATAAGGTTTTCAGCGTTGCCACCACACTGTCAGTCTGTATGCGAGCCAGCTGAGGGCAGAAATTCGGATTAGTCCTGCCCTTCCCTGACCACTGCCCCAGGCTTGGATCTTCATAGGGTCAGGGAGATCCTGAAGAGATTGGAATTCTCACCTGGGAATGAGAGGGGCCTAGCCTGGGAGTCCTCTGTACCCCAACAACTTCCCCAGCTCAGGGACTCTCTCCTCACAGAATGCAATCTGTCATTCCCCATGGAATTTAACTCCCAGCTAGTCTATTTCCTCCATGCTGGAAACCAACCCTCTGGGCCCCTCAACTTGTGATACTGTGAGTACCAAAATTCTCCAGACAAACCTCATCTATCCCCGTATCTACACTCACCTGGCTCTTGCGGGTACCCACACGAATCACTCTCATCTCTGGGCTGTTTTCTTCCTGCAGAAAAAGTCCCCACGTCACAGTTCCCTCTGTTCCTTGTATTCTTTAACACCTTATCCAAGAACCAGAATCACTGGCTTGGAAGAAAGGAACCTCAGCCCCTGGCTTGCGGCAAGCTGAGCCTCCAAGTGGGGAAATACTCCAAAACTTGTCCCTTTACCTTCCTCAATACCTTCTGCTCTCCTCAGGGATTCAGAGAAGCAGAGACAAGAAGGAAGCAATAGTAGGACCTGGTGTTGCTGCTGCTATAGTAACCAGGACACTGAGCCCCAAAGCCCACCCTGGCCAAGGCAGTTCTCAGTGAAAATGCTGCACACAGCCAGGTGGGTTAAAGAGATAAGGCCCATCAGCCTGGCCACAGGGAGGGTGGGGCCCATAGCCAGCAGGGGCCGGGCAGCTGGGGCCACAGAGGGGAACTTTTGCTGAGTTGTTGGAGGGCAGGTTTCACTATCTACAACAGATTAAGGCACTTGAGAAAACTTCAGTGCCACCCAGATGCCAAGAGGTGTCCCACAGCTGGCACACTAAGGATCCCTTACTCTAGCTAGAATGAATTTATAAAGGACTGGGGCAAACACATCTGATGTATCCTGCTCAGCTCTTGGCTGGATGATCTTCAGCACATCACCTCATCAGGACCTGTTTGTTCACCTTTAAAATAAAGAGGTTTGGATTCAATTTTCTTCTGCCTCTCACTACAAGGCCCGGCTGCCTAATGTTCATTCACCTAGAGTGCTGCCTCTGGTTTCAGCAACAAGTAAATATGGAGATGTCAGAGCCCAAGCCAACAACTCAAAGGGACATGCCTCTTCCTCCTGCTGGGGTACCTTGGACAAAGGTGTTCCATCCTAAGTAGGTAGAACTGGGTTCTTCAGTCTAAGACAGAGGTCCTGTTTCTTTCTACATCAGACAGTAGCCACTGTAGATACTGTCAACTTTTCCTACTCTGGGGTCTTCATCCTATGGAGTTCTTTTTTTTTTGGTGGCTGACTGGTGCGGGGATCAGAACCCTTGACCTTGACCTTGGTGTTAAAACACTATGCTCCAACCAACTGACTAACTGGCTAGCCCTATGGAGTTCTTTTGCAGCCAGACATTTGGGGCCTCTTTTGCTAAGGGTGACAGCTTGCTGTTCTTGGACTTGAGTCTACTCCACATGATTGTTCCTTCAGTGAATCAACCCTGGGGGATCCTTCACAAATTAGGCTAGGCTTAAATACTAAACTTGGCTACTAAAATTCTGGGCCACAGGGAGCCCACAGAAAGAAATCTAAGGGCCCAGAACTGCTAGATTCAAACAATCCCTTAAGTTCACTGTATTCAAGTCAAAATTTTCCATTAAAAAATAAATATTTCGTTTAGCTCAGTTGGGAGAGAGTGTTGCTGGTAACAGCAAGGTCACAGGTTCAGGCTGGCCAATCAGCTCACTTGGTTAGAGCACAGCCATGTAACACCAAGGTCATGGTTCCAGTCCAATACTGGCCATTTACAAGCAAACAAACAAACAAACAAACAAACAAACAAAACAAACAAACAAAAAAAAATGTCAGGGGTTCAGATCCCCCTACCAGCCAAGCCGCCAAAAAAAGTATTTTAAAAAAACCAAAAAAAGTATTTATTGAGCACGTATATGCTAAAGGTATTATTTTACATACTTCTGTCTTCACAACAATTCTATCGGGTAGACAGGGCGGGCCCCTCTGTGATCATTACAGAAGCAAAGGCTGGCTCTGAGGGGTGAAGTGATTTGCCCAGGTTCACACAGCTAATGATGGGCACAGAGCTGGAGTTAGAATCCAAATGTTCCTCCTACTCCTAGTCCAGTGCTCTGGACTCCTAGTCCTCGTCCAGTGCAAGAACAAACAATTCCACTCTTCACCAGCAGGCTGGACAGGGGCAGATAAGCAGCTGCCCCATCTCTTTCTTATCTGAGGCTGGGAGCAGCCTCCACTGCCTCTGTGGTTTGCATGCGCACAAGCCCAGAGTTCGGCAGGCTAGGAATAGGAAGGCCCCAGGGTGGACCCCGCCCACGGTAGTAACTCTGTGATGTGCCTCGGCTGGGGACTTTGAGAGCAGGCTGGGGCTGGATGACCGTTGTAACAGAAAAAGAGAGAAGGCGCATTTCCAAGATATTTGTGTGCAGTCCGGAGAGTTGGAGTCTGCTCTCCTATCTCAATCAGAAGTGGAATTTCTTCCCAAGGTGGCAGCATCCGTATCCGCCTAGGCCCCGTCTCGTGTGAAAGGATCCCGTCTGTATAGACGAACTTTCCCTGGCTGGGTCACTAAACCTAGAGCCGTGCATCCCAGGCCTGGCGGGAATCCCTCCTAGGGAAGCCTGCCCTTTCACTCTAAACCCGGCCCCCACCGCTCATTGATATCCCCTCTCTTTCCGAAGCGGAATCTAGCTACTGGCCCTTTAAAAACTACGCAGACCACAAAAAAAAAAAAAAAAAAAAAATGGATAGCCATTCCGACCAATAGACAACGGAGGATGGAACCTGCGGCCAATCGTTACACGGCTCATCTACAGCCCGAAGCGTGCGGGTCACCGGCTCAGGACTCACCGCCGTAGCAGCCGCGTTAAAACTACGCAGACAAAAAAAAAAAAAAAAAAAAAAAATGGATAGCCATTCCGACCAATAGACAACGGAGGATGGAACCTGCGGCCAATCGTTACACGGCTCATCTACAGCCCGAAGCGTGCGGGTCACCGGCTCAGGACTCACCGCCGTAGCAGCCGCGTTGCCGTTGCCAGACATGGCTCCACTCGGGAAGTAGGCCGGGGGTGCCGCTGGGCTCCCTCGGGGCCCCGAGTTCTGGGCCTCCGGCTGGCGGGAACCAAGAGCACATGGGGTCTGAGCTCGTCCTACGGCCTCCGACTCCCGGATCTGCGAAGGGCCCTGCGTCACTTCCGGCGCCTCCCTCGGCGAGGAGGCACATTCTTCTGGGCGGGAATTAGATTGCAACAGAACAGACCATATACCCTGTTGCGACGTGGGCTCCACCAGGATCTTCCGGATGGTGGGCTCCCGAGGGTGGGTCCCGGTTTGCCCCAGAGGAGTCTTTTGTTTGAGACCCAGGCCTACCACCTCTTTCTGAGCCAGGTCAGTGGCAAAGATGTGCTTCCCAGATTTACCTACTGTCAACTGTCTTTGCAGTATCCTACAGCCACCCAAAGAAATAGTCAATAAAGCCGAAGTTAGCCATGCCCAAGAGGGAAAGGAGACTGTATTAACTCTGAAATGCTGGGTTAGAAGTAAAGGGTACTTCAGCAAGTTACCATGACTCCTAGGCTGGATTCATCATCTGTAAATAAGAGGGCTACTCCAGAAAGCCTTCATCCAGAATTCTACAGCTTCATCTTCCTAGTTGTGGCACAAGCAATTAGTGCAGCTTAAGCAGCTCTTCCTTTGTTCTGTTCAAACTCACTTTGCTACAACCTTGAAGTAGGCAGTTTTGTTTTGTTTTGGTGGCAGGCAGATCTGGGGATCCAAACCCTTGACTTTGGTATTAAGAGGCAGCATTTCTAGTTTAAAAATGAGGAAACTGGTTCAGAGAAATTAAAGGTCATGCCTAAAGACAAATATGAAGGGTCTTCAAAAAGTTCATGGAAGGATTCGTAGTATTTTAATTCCATTTTTCCGTGAACTTTTTGAAGTACCTGCGTAACTGTGAAGTGGGAGCACCAATACATTATTGTTAGTGGAAAAATGCTTTTCCCAGTAACATTACTAATACTCATGAATTGAGCACCCATATGCTAACCACTGTACAAAGCATGAGACACCCATTTGTTCCTGAGGCCTTCATAACAGCAGTACAAGGTAGGTGGTATAATTTCTAATGGACAGATGAGGTTCAGAGAAGGTAAGAGTTACCCTAGGTTGAACTGCACAGCTAGTATTCACTCTCAGGTCACCTGATCCAAAGTCTACTCATGGCAGCTACAATACTGCCTTTTCTAAATACTACCTAAAATACAATGTCCAGGTTACTTCCTTCAATTAAACAACATAGCAGCAATTTTCTAACAGGTAGTGTAACCCAAATTACTCAGGAACACCCAGCAACATAAACTTTAGCTGACTTCAAAGAGGAAAAAGTATTTCAATAAAAGCCCTTTTATCCTGTTTATCATCTGGTACTGAGTACAGCTAGACAACCTGCCCTTTATGAAGGCAGGCTAAGCCCAAGGCTTACTACCAGAATCTACCTCCTGCTGGAATATTTCACCCAAACAAGAGCCAGAGATAAGCAAGACTAAAGAGCAAGAGCTGTTTTGGGTGCTTCAGTCCAGGCTGCTCTCCGAGTTCAGTCACTAGGTCTTTCGCAGAGCTTCTTCAGTAAATTAAACTCTATTAGATGCCCATTGCTGGGATGAAGTTAAGTCAACAAGGAACTCTGTAGGAAGGGAAGTGAAACTCTAGGAGAGCAGAGGGAAGAAAGTACATTATGCACAGTTAAGAATCACCAGGAAGTCCCCTGAAAAAATCCTTCAACCAAATCATTATTTTATTTATAGACTCTGAGAGCAAGGACCCAAGCACAGGCTGGTGCTCTTGGATAGAGAATAAAGCAGCTATTGTCCACACTCAGAGGTTGCTGAGGTACCTTCCCCCGCTGGTCTGGAATGATCTACACTGCTAGTCAACAGGAGGGGCAGTGTGCTGGCTAAAGGAGGAGGCAAGAAAAGAAAGTCCTCATTTAGTCCTGAGGGCTATGACATAAGATCAGAGTGGTGCCTTGGCATGTCTGCCTGCCTCCCTCCTGTGCAACAGCTCGCATCTCAGTCCCCCATGTCTGTCCTGTGCCTCCACTATCACATGCCTTCCCACAGACTGTTTAGGTGCCCCTCCTGGAGTGCATAAGCAGGTCCCGCTGCAGCCCAGCCTCCAGGCTGGGTGTCAGTCTGCCTGTGGGAGGGTCGGTTAGCAGAGTCAATTTGTTGAAAACACCTCGGCCAAAGTAGTCAGCAATCACAGAGAAGCTGTCATTGGAACACTTGAGCTGCAGGGGAAGAGGAGGGAAGTAAGAATCAGAACTGAAGTACTTGCTTCCTAAATGAGGAGCAAAGGAAATAAACTCTCCAGTGCTTTGGTGACTGTGACACCAGTGGGAGTCCCCTGCCCCATCTAGCCCACTCATCCCCACCTGGTGCTGGAACTGATCATGCAGATCTCTTTTCTGTTCCTGGGCCCGGATCATATCCATGACCTTCCGGTTTTCAGGGAGGCAAGTAGGGCAGTCAGCATCACTTTCTGAATAACTCTCAAAGCAGTGCTGGTGGAAAGAGTGGCCACATAGGAAGTGGACTGAGGGCAACTCCAAGGCACTGTTACAGATGCTGCACTTGGTCTTCTGGAAAATCTTTGGACTACAGGCAAGGAAAACCAGAAAATGAGTGGCAAAGAGTAAAGGCAGGGCCAAGAGCCAAGTGAAGAGAAAAGGCAGCTGGAGTGAAGAGCAGGTCCCTGCCCTGCTCTTCTTATCACCTAGAGGGAGTCAAATGAGGACAACAGCCCTGGAGAGAGTTTCAGCATGCTCTCAGCAAGTACAAGTAACGAAGGGAGTAGTCTTCTCTTTCCATTTTCACAATTGCTACTAAATTCTTTCAGGTGTGAAATCAGAGGTGCCACTTTTGGTGAGGTTTTCCTCACCATCTTATCTAAAATTGTAACACATACTCCCAACCCCACTGCCCTTCCTTGATTTTTTCAGAACTTATCACTATCTAACACACTGTAATAGTTTGCCTATTTAATGTGTTTATTGTTTGCCTCTCCCTCTACAAGGTAAACTCCATGAAGACAGGGCTTTTTGTCTGTGTTGTTCAGAACGGTACTTGGGACATAATAGGGACTAGTAAATATCTGTGGTATGAAGAAAACTGTTGTTCTCTAATAAATATTTTACAATGTTAAGGGCAGATAAGACTTAAGAGGCAGTACTACTGTCTACTATAAATTATTATAAATTATACACTTTCTGCATTTTCTAGTTTTCCCTTCAGAATGGCTTCCAACCACAACTTAGATGTGTGTTTGGCAAGGGTAAAATATAGATGTACCCAGAAAGAAAAGTATCTGCTACAAGATAATATCCTCCATAGCCCAGTAATGACCTATGTAATAAACCATTCTGTGGAATTCCTCCATTAAAACACATCTTCAAGAATGAAAACACTTCATACAACCCTCTATGAAAAGTACTGAACAGCACCCTGTGAAGAATGAAGTTATCCCCCGGACGCCTCCACATATCCAGACGCCAGGTACCTCGCCTTAAGCTCCTGGATCTCCTGGCGGATGCGGGTCGTCTCCTCTCGATACCGCCGCACCCGCAACTCATCCTGTGCAATCTGTTGGCTCTGTTTCTGCAGTTTTTGGACCAAGTAGTCCTTGATGACAGACAAGGTAGCTGTGGAGTTGTGGGCCAGGGTCTGCACCACTGAGATTGGGATCCAATAGGAAACAAGACAATGAACGAAGCAGCACCCTCTGGGTAGAGTTGAAGGGCCCTTGCCATATAGCCCAACTGTCAGCAGCCTGTCACCCACCCACCCTGTCCCCCCAAGTACCTAGCAGGGGTGGCATGAGGTTTTTGTTCTCAATATGCTTGAGCACAGCTGCCACATACTCCTTGCAGTCCTCCTCCTTGCGGGCAAAGTAGCTGAGGGCCTGCTCCCACAGGGACGGGTCCTGCTCCCCATGGCGTTCACACACAGCAATCACCTGCCGGTACTGCTCGTGCTGCATGTGGTAGTGCATGATCTGCTGAAATCTGGGGCCAGGGCAGGGGCACGCCTCAGTGGCTGTCCCTGGAAGATTACCTGGATCCTTCCCCTCTCCCTGAAATTCCCCAAACTCTTACAGCTTCCCCTGCTCATAGAGGTAGAGGACCCCATCCTGGAAGTCGTGCATCTGGCACAAGACCAGGGCCTTGTCAAAGACGTCACAGAAGCGGCCACTCTTCAGCAGGGAGATGGCCTCTGCATGAAGCTTCTCTTTGACCTAGGGAATGAGGATAGAGCTGCTGGACATAAAGCAAAAATCACAAGTTCCCTTGGGACAAAGCCGGTGAACTATCCCTCTACCTCAGTCCAATTTCCTCTTCACTGTGAACCATTTAGCCCCAGGGGTGAGGTGTTACTGGTCTAAGGTACACATGAAAAGGCAGCTAAAAAGACGGAAGAATGGAGACAGCAAGAACCATCTTTCCTCCAGCACCTCCTGCAGCTCTGGCAGGCCTCACTCACCTGTGGAGCCTTCTCATGGGCCCAGTTCTGCAATCGCAGCTCAAGGAGTGTGTCATAGATGCCCTGGGGCGAATCTGGCTGCACTTCACTCATGTGCTCTAGGAAGGCTTTCAGCTCTCGCGGGTTGTTGGCAAAGATGGGGATGAACTCCTCCGAGTTGGCCTGGGATGGCAAGGGAGGAGAGAGGAGGCCAAGTGAGTGCGCTTGTAACTCAGGGGGCTCCTAAGGTGATCCCTCCTGTCCAAAGCTGTTCTTCCTAAGGCCTTACCCTGCAGCCTGGAGCCTCCCTATCACCTCGGCCTTCGAGGCTGGGCCGATAATCAGTACAAAGTCCCTTCAGCAACTGTGTTGTCTGCTCTGGTATGTGGTGCATAAGGATCTTGCCATAGCGCTTCATGTTGCTCTCTGCCTGTTCAAAAGGCAGCTTGCCAATGTACCGAAGGGCTTCCTGATAATTCTGTGGAGAGGTAAAGGGCAAACATAAGGGAAAAATCACAAGGCCAGTCAACTATCTCTACGGTCAATCTATCTCTACAGTATTGCATATTCCTGTGTCACCCCTCAAGGAAGCACTTTCATCATTCCTGGGATGGCCTCAAAAAGAACAGGGCTCAGGGCCGGCCCATGGCTCACCTGGGAGAGTGTGGTGCTGATAACACCAAGGCCACGGGTTCGGATCCCTGTATAGGGATGGCCAGTTCGCTC